GCCAATTAAGAGGGGCGTGGCCAGCAGGTGGACGGAGGTTCTCCTCCCCCTCTACTCTGCCCTGGTGAGACCCCACCTGGAGTACTGGGTCCAGTGCTGGGCTCCCCGATTCAAGAAAGATGAGGAACTCCTAGAAAGAGTTCAGAGGAGAGCAACAAGGATGATAAGGGGACTGGAGCATCTCCCCTACGAGGAAAGGCTGAGAGAGTTGGGCTTGTTCAGCCTGAAGAAGAGAAGACTGAGAGGGGACCTCATCAACACATACAAATATCCCAAGGGTGGACGTCATGAGGATGGAGCCAGACTGTTTGCAGTGGTGCTCAGTGACAGGACAAGGGGCAATGGGCACAAACTGAAACATAAGAGGTTTCAGTTGAATATGTGGAAGAACTTCTTTATTTTGAAGGTGACAGAGCACTGGAACAGGCTGCCCAGGGGGGTTGTGGAGTCTCCTTCTCTGGAGATATTCAAAGCCCGCCTGGACGATGTCCTGTGTAACATGCTCTAGGAGAACCTGCTTTAGCAGGAGGGTTGGACTGGATGATCTCCCGAGGTCCCTTCCAACCCTTGCCATTCTGTGATTCTGTGTGGCAACATAACTTTTGGATTACAATGATTTAAAAAAAAAAAACAACAAAGAAACAAACAAACAAACAAAACCTTCCATCATGATCTGTTAATACTGTTTGAACTAACAGATTGCCAAAAAAATGTAGTGGAATTCCATGGAACTGGTTGTAATATCATGTAAAATTGCACCCCATACTTAAATCACAAGTCATCTTAGCTCTTCATCTAATTAATAAAATGAGTGTGTATATAGGATTTTTTTAACTACAAGTAATTTTATCAGAATAAACGATGCCATTTGTATTGTCTGATTTTACTGCCAGTTCTGTACTACAGCCAGAATGCCTGCTAAATATTGTCACTGTTGCCTTTTGTATGTCTTTATCAGTGTTTTGCCTTGATTTGTGGTTACACCAGGATCTACGGTAGCCCTGACAAAACGATTGCAAGAGTGACACCTCAATAAAGTAATTCCAAACAGAAGCTGAAGCCAGGGACCACAGCACGTATCTGGTCTGCGGATACAGCTCATGTTCCATCCAAAGTGTGAGCAGTATTATGCTTTCCAGTACTGCTATACCCATGACAGGATGCTCGTGTCTGACAAAGCTATAAACAACTGAATTACTGCACATCACAGTAAATCTTGCTTGTCGCCATGTAATAATTTATAAATGCTCGATTAATAGTAGTGTGAATAGTAAAGTAATCAAGCTTTTACATATGTGCAGTCCTTGAATGCTTAAAAAAAGCCCACAGGTTTATTGTTTTTCCATTTCCTTTAGCAGTGAAAGGACTATGGACCTGGTTTTAGAAATGTGCAATACCAATTCCATCCACTGGTGTGGAGTTTCAGGAAGGCAACTTGGAAAGCTGCACCCAAGTTCATCCCTCCATCTTGCACTTACATTGCTGTCCTCAGTGCAGGGATTGCAAGTAAGTCTTTAGAGCACAGTTTTGTTACAAAATCGCTGTTTTATAAGTTCAGTAATTCTTCCTAATAACTACTTTTATAAATATTTTCCCTTTCTAGAGTGTCTCTGGCTTAAGACTTACAGACACGTTTTTGAAGAGAACATACGAATATGATGATATTGCACAAGTCTGTGTAGTTTCTTCAGAAGTCAAACAAAGCTGAAGAAAAACATTCTGTATTTCTGCTGGGCTTTTTTTCTTTTTTTTTTTGGACCAACTTCTTGATGTTTTTGCAGCTGAATCACATCAAAATGTGTACAAACAAAACCAAACCCCTATGTATCTGTAAATGTAACTATGCTTATTTAATTTCTCTGAGCATTTTTTGAATGTTTTGAAATCTTAAAAGCATGTGTATGCATTTTATCTACTGAAAATAAAGCCTTTGAAAAAAGTGTAGCTCTAGCAACTTATGTTGCATTAACATCACCTTGGGGCAGGGGGGTGAGATTGATACGAAATAGTAGCACTTCGTACTGATTTTTATTATTTTAATTATTTTTAAAATATTTCAACAATTTTTAAATTGTGGTTCTGACAAAACTGCTTCTGTCTGAAGGAATTGGCCTTTTATAGGCAAGTTCCTGGAGTCCAAACCCCCAAAAGAAAGACTTCGGGGTACCTGGCGCGGCAATGTATTTGCCTGGTACGTACACAGCCATAAGAGCTGCAGCCTGGTAAAGGCACGAGATGAGAGTGCAGCTGGCACTGCTGAGGCGCCGGTGGCCAGAAAGTAGAGCATTAGCCAGAGAATGTGTTGGTTGTGGCTCAGTCTCTCGGAAGGAGTGATACAGCAAATCTGCCGCCGTTAGCTGCAGTCTTGGGCAGCGTTGTGCCTCCCAGCGATACAGGGCGCGCTGTGCACAGGCACGTTACTTCCGAATTAGTCGGGAACTGGAAACTAAAACAGCAGAATTTGGGCATTTTTTCATTGTTAAACTGAGGCAGTGGGAATTGTTCTTCCCATCCCAGAGGCATTTAAGTAGACTGTTCTAGGAAAATAAGGAGAAAAACCCTACAAGGCTGCCCTAGATCAAGTTCTCCAAAGCATACGCAGGAAGGAATTCAGGACTTGGTTAAGCATTGAAATGTGCTTTTCCCTAGCTTTGTTTTTGATAAAAGATTGAAATATTTTGGGCTGAAATGCCTCAGGTCACCCAAAGGAAGCCATTTAATACAGAAAATGGTGACTGACTTTCCTAGTTCCACAATAGTTAAGCTAGTGTTAAAGATTCTACTTTTGTTGTATTTCTCAGCTATCACATTGGCACTTAGCAACTTTAGTTAGTTTTGACAGTATTTTACTTAAGGCTTTCCTGTGTATAAAATCTTTTAAGTGTAGAATTCAATTTAAAAATACTGGATAAATTTAGGACCAGCTTACAAAATTGAGGGAATGAGTCCACACCAGGGAAAAAAATACATTGAAGCTCTATCTCACACATCTTATAAAATGCAGAGCAACCAACATAAACAGGTATATTAAAGAATGCAATTTACCTGTTACTGTAGATACATGAACAAACTAAAACAGTAAAACCACAACTATCCAGACAAAAAATGTAAATAACTTTATTAATCTATTTTCAAGTTAAACTGACACAAGTTGAAGGAAATGTAACTATGGTAATAAGAGGTAGGAGCGATACAGAAATGGTAGACAAGTTGCATTTTGCCAGGATGACTTTGGGTAGCCCTGGAACAGCGTATGAATCCAAAGCGGCAGACTTCGTTCTTTCTCAGTATGCACAAGTGATTTTACTTTGTACTCATTACAAAACCAGAAGTGCAACTGAAACAATTTCTAAGCTGAATATTTCAGTAGGTGTCTTTATGATCAGGCATAGTTAGAAGAATACACTTCCATGCAAGCAGGCTACGGGAGTTTACAATTTGAGTGCAAAACATTTTCTTCTCTAACAATTATCACACTTATATGCTGATGGAATAGTAATGATACAAAACCAATTAAGTGCTAAATGCATATTTGCTCAGTTGAATTATAAACTGCAACTGACCTTACATTAAAGCCGTATTTATGGGAATTGTGGTTTACCACTTGATCTAGGAGGATGAAAAATTTTAGTGCAAAATAAAGTGCAGTTATTACACAGGAAAAGATTCCTTCCTCACCCTGTGATTGAGACATACGGCATGACTCTGAAACAATCTAGCCTATTCAAGGCAAAATAGACCTTAGCGTAAATGATCCCTCTGTTCCTGGTTTCAATGGGAAAGCATGTAATGACAGCTCCTGTTATTGGTTTCACTGTTTTTTATTTAGGCTGTTGTCCTAGTTTCGGCTGGGATAGAGTTAATTTTCTTCATAGAAGCTAGCATAATCGGTCGGTTGTGGGGAGAGTGATCGCTGCTCGGGGAGTGATCATGGCTCGGGACGGGCTGGGCATCGGTTGGCGGGTGATGAGCAATTGGGTGGTGCATCATTAGTTTTGTACATTCTGTATATTCTCTTACCATTCTCATTATGACTATTATTATTATTTTCTCTTATTAAACTGTCTTTATCTCAGCCCACGGCTCTAACCTTTTTTTTCCTTCCCGATTCTCTCCCCCATCCCACTGAGGGAGGGGGGAGTGAGCGAGCGGCTGCATGGTGCCGAGTTGCCAGCCGGGTTAAACCACGACAGCTGTAAAGCCCTTTCTGTTCACATACAAGAAACAAAGAATGCTTACAAGTTAAGTATTGTGCCAGTTGTAGCACATTCCTAAAGGGTTAGCTAATGACATCAATGTTTTAATAAATACTCTAGTTACATACTATCTGTACTGGAGTAAAACCTAAACATGACAGTATTGTAGTATGTGACATGAAAGTTACCACTCCATAAAGATGATTTCGAGAGTAGTTTTCAGGTAACTAACCAATGCTTCATTCCATTTAACCTTGGGGATAGCTCTCCCATAAATCCAGTGAGCTCTAGGGCTTCTACTTGACAGTACTTCTACAGCCAGTCTTTGAGTATTACTGTATTTTATAGTTCTTAAGGAACTGACAAGAGGTTCCTGACACTCTGTCTTAAATTAGAAAGGTAACTGACTGCTTGAAGATTGCTGCCATGAAGTAAGGGTAAATTGAATTGGAGAGATATTGCAGTGCTGCCCAGCCCACTCTGGATTTATTGGTTCCCCTCACTTTGAGCAGGTGAAAATAAGAAAGAGAGAACTAAGAGGAACCATGTAGTTTAACAGATATGCTAGGAGCCATGCTTCTCTCCTGGCACAACACACAACTCCAGGCAATGTTTGTACAGTAGCTGTAGCCCACCTACAGCCTCCATCCATCTTTCTTGTAAATGGTGTCCTGTCCTATTAAATGTAACTGAACTTAAGTAGTGGTTTTCTTGAATTAGATTCAGGACCTGAACTACCTCTGAGAAAAGATCCTGTTAGGGATTTTCTTCTTTGTCATCAGATATTAAGTCAGAAGCTGTTACTTGGAAGTGTATTTAATGTAAAGCTTAAGTGTCGCTACAGCCTCAAAAAGGCAACTACAGCAACTTACTTACATAATTTTAAATAGCATTTTAATGCTGTGTATAGGCAAGCTGTACTGAATAAAGTATGAAATGTCTTAAAGTTGTTTAAGTTGCTCTATTAAGCTTTATCTCTTTATCTAACATACATAATACGGATTTCCTATTTTTGTGTTTTCGCCAATTCTTTTCATTTCTCCTTGGCCCCAGCTGCTTCTCCCCCATTCCAGCAGCAGAAGACTCATACAACAGACGCACAACTGGCATTTGTCAGAGTCAAATACATGACCAGGCCCCAAATTTTGCATTTGCTTCTACTTGAGGTGCTCTTTTTTTGACTACAAGATGAATCAGATACAATGTCTGAGGCCCAGGAGTTCCTGCATATTTCTGCATGTGGGAGTCTGTTGTTACTCCCCCACGTACCTTCTACAGTCTAACCAGCCAGCACAGATCCCTTTGTCTTGGGAATCAAAGCAGGCTCCTCAAGTTAGTTTTGGTACACAAAGAGGAAAATGTGAGTGTTGAGAACCTCCCTGGAGTAAAAACAAGTGTACCTTGTACCAGAAAGCAGTGTGAACAGTAAGCAGAATACAAAAAGTTAACATAATAAAAATACAGAAAAGCAGTGGTCTCTGAAAGAGTAAGATTAACTGAGAAGAAAAGCCAGGGTACGAACAGAAATACTATAGAGTGGAAAAATGTTTAACTTGACCATATAACCATCACTTAAGTAAGTTAGGTATGTATGTGTAACGAAACTTTAAAAAAAACCTTAATTGTTTAAGCCAGTGTTTTACCACACAAGAATAGAACGAGAATCCTTCTTTCTAAGGCAGTTATTTTCTGATAAATTTTCAGTACTAGTTATTTGTACAGTCACAGGATCAGTTTTAGCTTATTACAGTTAAGAATTTTAAGCTTATATTAAGTACTGCATACATACGGAATGTAATACAGTTTGCCATGCCTAGGAAAATAGTGCCATAATGCTGACCTCCAGGGCTACCATCAGGATTTTTGAGGGTACACATGGCAGTAGAAAAGCCTAAAACTTCTTAATACCCTTTCCCTTCCCAAGCGAACTTCCAGAAACTTGGTTTCTGTGTATTATCCTACTCAGGATTAGTGTCCTCTCTCTGCAGTTAGTGGTACTCCTTCATATGCAATCACCTCTCTCCCTCCTGCCCAATGAAGTTGAAAAAAATACTTCATGTTACTAATGATGGCCCCTCCACAGGCTTAAAGAAACAGACTTTTCAAGTGTTGGTTTTAAGTACACTCAATACTCCAAACACTGATTTATGCTCGTTATACAAGGGCACATCAGATAAGCCTATTGTTTCAGTATCTGACAAGGAGTACAGCCATAATGATTTTCACCGTAAGAGTAACATCCCTTTTACACTAGGATTTTAGAATTTAGCTGTTACGCCACATCAGCCTGCTACAAAACTCCTTCCCACTCAATAGCCCTGGAGATCAATCTAATGCACATACTGAAAATGACTTGTACTTAGGGATTTTAATAAACCACCTATTTTTTTATTTTATTATTAATTTTCAGAGGAGTTACTATACATAAACTATATGTTCCAAGTTATGTGCAATAGATCTGTTTAACAGATTTATTCTTGTTTGCAAACACGCACAAAGAATTTTCTGTCTTCTATTCAAGCAGAAGAGTTACAATGGTGCTTTTGCTACTAACTATGGTATGCATTTTGGGGTTATATACCATTCCAATTCACGTGCCTCCTTTCAGTCAGGAATGCTCTTCAGTGCTGCCACTGAAAGATCTGCTCCGGACATGATTTCTCAGTTGCTCTATGAGCTCTGGATTCTGCTGCTGTATCTGTTGTGCAAACTGCTGCCCCCTGCGTTAAACAGTTTTAAGTAAAATCAACAAGTGAAAAAAAAACCTGACAAGCAGCATTTGTATGAAAACAGGATATCCCAACATAACTGAAAGGTGCATTACATGAGAGTTAAGACTAAAGATAACGTGCTGTATAGTCTTAAGACATTGTAGTATTATGACTTTATCTAGTTAAAGTCTCTCCCAACAGGATTATCATCAGATCTTCATTTTTAGTCTTTAAGACTACTACTTCTACTTGATTAACATGCAGGAAAAATGTATTACCTTTCTTGGGAAAACTAAAATTTAGCGACAAACCTGCTCCAGTGATTTGCTCCCTTCTTTTTGAGAGGATCCATTCTAGTTATTTAAGATTACTCCTGTAGCTGAAGTGCAACTTTATATTAGTTTTTCCAGAAATACAGCGTGCAGCTGCCAACTTGTACTTGTGAGCAAGATGTCATTAGCGGAAAGCAAGCGTACAATTACACCTTTGTGTCTTTGTCTTGTATGACTGAAGTAATGACAGAGCCATCCCCATAACAGTTGTAGCTTGTGAGTTAATTTAATGGGTGAGATTAATTCCACGTAAAAGAGAAGCACAACACGGGTTTACTAGAAAAAGCAAGTAAAACATATTACTTCATTAATGGCTATGGCATGGCTTCTCTGTAACTTGCGTTTTGCCCAAGTAGCAAATTATTAAGACTCCTTTAGACCACAGTGTAGGTTGAAGGAGAACCACCATTTTCATAGATCTAGGTGTAGTACACAGTTTTTGAGAAAACAGGCCTTGATTTTGTGTGGGCACATTTCTGTCTGTGATGTGAATTATAGATTACTCTTGCCCTGGAGGGGCATAACTTAAAAACAGTTTGAAACAGGCTAGAATATGGAAATAAAGTAAAATTATATGCCCTTTAAGAGGTCTTGCTGTATAAGCAAATGGCATGTTTTTGTGCAGACTCTTCCAGATGGATTAGCATTATTATACAATAGAAGGCTTGGGTCTTGGTTGTTGTAAAAGCTACTCCTCCTCATACTGAAGCCTTCCTAGTCTAAATGGAGGGATGCCAAAGCAGAAATTGTTGCAACATGTGCTAAGTATATCTGTAGCTTTTCTAACTAGTTTCTGGGATATCAGGTGGTAAATTTATCAACACAATATGAAAGCATGTGTAGGGGTACTAAAAGACCAAAAGGAGCATATTTAGTAAGAGGCATTTAGAAATTAAACAGTGTATGAAAACCAGAAAGTGAAATCAAGCACCCAGTCCAATCATTCCAATTGATGGAAATGTACAAAGCAAACAAACAAGATAGTGGAAAATACGTCTTCAAGTTCTCAGTTTTAATAATAGGCATACAGTGGGAATGGGCCACAGTGTAATTGGCTTGACACTATCCCTTTTAAATAGATGTTGCACAGTGATGCTTGCTTCTACAAATGTGACAGCTAAAACTAGCCAATTTTTACTTACGCATGGATCAGGCTGGACAAATCTGACAGGCCACCAACACCTGCAGCAGGGCCACCAATGGCATTTGACATCATCCCTGACATCCTGGAACAGTTAGCACAGAGCTGGCATTGGGGTATGCAGAGACCTCTACAGTAAGCAATACGTCATAGTTCTTTTTTAAATTGCTGGGAGGAAATAAGCCGCAAGAGGAAGAAACTGCAGCAGTTTTATTTACAGTAAGCAAAAATAAAATCACATTTTCAGGAATACAGTACTATCCACCTTTTCTCTTATTAATTCAAACCCCTAAAAAATTTGTTTTAATGGTACTCCATTATAATACTTACAATTGTTGAACTTGAGGATTCTGCATTAAGCTTGCTGCCTAGAATAGACAATATATAGCTGAAATTATAACACATATACTACTTGGGTATCACTGAGGAAAATGTGGAAAAAAAACCAAAAAACCCCAACATGCTGTATTCTACGTTTTATTACAAAATTAAGCTAAGTTTATGTATACAGAGATGTATGGTCCCCAGCAAAAAGAATCATTACAGGAATGTATTTCAATGATATGAAGCTGAGACAATTTGTTGCATGTTAGATAAAAAATAGTGGTTACAGATTCAGCCATGAAAAATATGAGAAGACAAAATTATACATAAAAACCCAGTACCAGAAAACAAAACAAAACAAAACCCAACAAAAAAAACCCAAACAAACAAAAAAAAATGAAGACTTCCAAGAACAAAGGTTTTCTATTGGGCTTTTTTGAGAAAGGTCTGGTTTTTGTGATTCCCAGCCTGGATAAATCAGTTTTGCAACTACTATTACCACTGGATATAAACTGTTAAGATTACGGCCACAAAATACTGCAAAGTAAACCAGAGTGTGGACTGACTTAGTAGCATGGTTTTGTGGTAACATATATCTTCCATGGTAATTGTAGTAGGTAACTTTGTAGTAAGCAGGAGGTTATTTAAATTTCTCATCCATAAGATACATCAAAAATTATATTGTGTTTACCATGGTGTAAGAGCATATATGGACAGATACTATAGAATAAACCAGGTAATGTTTTAAAGTTAGTAACAGGTCTGTATGAATGTAAGACCAATAGGCATAATGCAGTATCTGCTTATTCACTCTCTTATTAAAGGTCCTACTAAAAACATATATATGTAACATTCATTTTATTGATCAATGTATCTCCATGTATGTATCTCAAAAGTAAATCATCTGTTTTCTCTAGTCTGCAGTTGGATACAAAATGCCAAATTCAGGTCAATTCTATGGGTAATACAGGACTTTTTTTTCTTTCTTCCATCAGCAAAAAGTCTGATCCAGGTTAGAGGCCCAAAATGCAGGCTATAAGTAACTTTCTTAAGGTCAGACAGTGAGTCAATTTTTTTCCTTAAAACCGAACAAAACCAAAAAACTACACCACAGGAAAATCATTAATTCATTCCAGGCGGAAGGCCCTGTGTACTATCCACTTGACCAGGCATTTTGTGGAAATGATGCAAAAAATCCTTTCCCATAGTTAGCTGCATATTGAAAAGTATATCTTTGACTAAGAGATGCAGACTGTCTGAGTAAGTCGCTTGCCCATGAAGTGGTACACAGAGTTCCAGTGCTATTTAATAATCGCTAATGCCGTTGGAGAATTCACTCACTTCTTCCCTCCCTACTGTCTCTGTTATTTGGACCATAGTATCTGACCAGATGTATTGATTTCTCTTGCATGCAGTGCATTTCCACACGGAAGCACTGGTTGAAATGTCCTGTCCTAATGAAGCCACCAGAGGGGCAGTAAGTTTTTAATGGAGTTCTCAAAAGAAGTAAGGAGTTTTTTGCATTTTTTCTCCAAGTTCCATTCTTCAAAGTCAATTAATACCATTTAGCTAAGAAAGTCATGCATGGAGAAAAACTACTGAGGGACTAAACCACTGTCATTGTACTGGAAGTAAAGGCATGCACTATATGTTATTTATATTAATTGCTTGCACATCTCATGAAGTTTTGCACACTTAAGGATGTCAGGGATAATTTGAAAGAGTAAGAACAGAAGGGTCTTGGATAGTTCTCCCCAAGCAGAGTTACTTCAGTCTTGGGCAGACTGCATCTGCATCAACTGCTATTTGCTTAAGAGGTGATTTCTTTGTATTTGTTGTTAACTGCTATATGGAGAACAGAAAAGAAATTTTGACCATGTTTTTAGCAGGCATCTTACTGTCATGCCATCTATAAAAATAGCATAACATGTTCTTGTGCTTCATTTCTTGTTTTGACTGTAAAATTGCTTAAATTCAGTATAATGAAACCATTTCCATTATAATAAGCACTGAAATTGCATGTGTTATTAAACAAGAGTTGTTTTTAAAGCTTCAGTTTTAAAAAAAGTATAATGTAAAACCTGAAATATACTCACCATACTAATGAAGGCAGGATTGTTTATCAAGCTTGCCATGTCAAAACTCAGTCCAGTTCCAGTCTACAAACAAATTGCAATTGAAGAGAAGTTTACTTACAAAATCCCAGTTAAAACTATTGTAAATAAACAGATACAGAGCTAACTTACAGGACTGGACATGTCTCTTAGTTTCTGTTCTGCTATTTTCAAATTTGACTTATAAGAGTCATTCTCTGGATCAAGATCCAGTGCTTTTTGGTAACTGGTAACTGCTTCTTCATATTTATTCACTGAGGTCAGAGCCAACCTAATGTGAAATAAAGAAATCCTGGGTAGAACATAGATGACCATCAAAAGATAATGATACATTTTCTAAGTAAAACAGTATCTCACAACTAATTTCTAGCTTGAGTACTAAGTTAAAGCAAGTTTTGCTATTATGCTACTACTGCTTAGTGTAAGCACTTGTTTTTGCAGAAGAGATGATCTTTCAGGAACTCATCTTGCATTGTGTGTTCCATATCTATGCAAATTTCATTAAAAACTCCTCGGCATCATCAAGTTATTTAGTCTATATTTGAGAGCACAAGCTGGATCCAGCATCCATGACTTTTTGCATAAACTTAGGAATTCCTGTGTTTCCTCCAGTCCTTTTGACATAAGAGATCATTCGGAAGGGTTCGTGGGTAAGTGGGGCGAAGAAACTCTTAACGTTAAGTTCTGCAGCTTCAAGAAATCAAATACTGGAACCACAAGTTTCAGCGTAATAGATTTCTGTCTTGGGATCAGTGTAAGGTTCTCCTTTCGGATTTTCTACTTCAACAGCTTGACAAATGGGTTATACAGGATAGTGTTAACATCTGTAAGATGCTGTAAGAAAACCTTGTATCAGGGGAGTCTGCTTAATGTTTTGAAAAAGATTCTTCTCCAGCAGCTCAGGAGAGGACGGGACAGATCTACTACTTTTGAAACAGTATTTGCTTTCAAATTCGATTAGCTACTACATTTAAAACATCATCTTTCTTTGAGCTGTTCCAGAAGTCCGCATCTGGTTGCAGTTTCAATTCTACCTTTTACTGTATTTTCAATTTATACTGACCACAAAACTAAACTGATCTTTTTAACATTTTGTGAAAAATCTGTGTAACCCACATTCAGCTATTTAGTACTCCAGTCCCCCTAAGGTACGTGCTGAGATTCACAGACTGGGTTGACAAGCCTCTCCTAGTGCCCACTAACAGACCTTAGTCTTTTATCTCAGGCAAGAGAGCTCAGTGTGTTAGATACATCAGTCACAGTGATTACACTTAGTAATGAACTCAATAACAGTATGAAGCTCCAGGAGCTTCCAGTAATGCTCCTGGAAGAACTCATGCAATATTAATGTTTTCTCTCTTAACACAGTTACTCCCATAAAAAACATTCTCCCTTTTGGCCCATTAAATTGCCAAAATAGTTTCTGACCAGACAAGAAATGCAATCCCTGGTATTTCTATAATGCAATCATGTTTTTTTACGTAGAAAGTATGTATAATTCTGCTTCTTGGAACACAACAGAAGTCAGAACAGTGGGCAACAGTTTCTTTGCTCACAATTGCTGCCCATACAAGTGCTCTCACAGGGTCATGCTGGAAGTATCACTTTAACTGTCTACCTGGTTCCCATCTCTGCATATTTCTGTGGCAATTCTGCATCTTTCTGTCACATATAAAGAGTTTCTGTCAAACTCTGAGAAAACTGATACGCCTGCGTAATGCAGTCAGAAAACACAGCTTTCTCGTAAGGACTTCCTCTCAAGAAAGTGGTTTCTGCACTTGTTTTTTTTCAGTTGTTATTAAACAAGCATGATTTCTTCAGCCTATGACAAGCGTATTATTATATCCATCTGCTGAGTTAAGCAATGGCTTGTAGCTCAAAATGTATCTTGTATCAAACCAACCAGACAATCAAAAAAAAGAGAAGCCTGATTGCCCGAGAATGATCTCACTTACGTTGTGTATCAAAAGGTGCACTGGTCTTACACCCAGAACTCTAAAATAACCTCCAATTTCCAATTAAATCAGCCTGTAGCTTCCCTCAATCTCATTGAAATCAGGGGATCTGGGGTTGTGCTATATGAGGAAACGATCTAAAGAGAGTTCAATAGGACAAAACCAGTTTGACAGTCCCTAAAATTTCAAAGTGAAATAAGCATCTCAAAAGCCAGTCGGGCTACTTTTGCAGTAGTAAAATAAACTGTATTGTGGAAAGATTTCAAGTGATAGAATTCCATCATCTTTAATCTTAAATAAATGCCCCCTGGCATGGTTTTGTCCCAGGCCAACAAGCATCATCCCAGACAATTTTGGGGCATGGTTCAGAATTTAACAAAGGCCAATGCAATTTAGTAATAGGCAGTTTGGATGTGGCCACTCCATACCGCAAACTAGATTTTAATAACATGGACATGGGCCATTTTGTGCCAGCTGACCCAATGAACAATCCCAAGCATTTTTTAATTTATTAGAATAGAAATAACCTCAAAAGCTTTATGCAGCATTCAGCCCATGCACACAATATGTTTGCTTATTGAAAATGCAAAGCCACACATCTTGGAAGAATGGCCCTTCACTCAAATAGATATGCCATTCAGAACATTCCTGACATTTTTTTTCAGATAGCACTGAACCAGACATGCCGCCTAAAGAGGCTATACTGTTAATCTCTCAGACATGACTAAGAAAAACTACCAAAGGGACATAGCTTAGTCCCAGCTATTCACTGTTCCAACTGCAGAATTTTGATTACTCGTGAGTAGGTTAGAGGTAGGAAAAACATATGATGACTTTCTAAACTAAATATGCAAAGTTGATAAACTGAAAGAGAGAAAATGCAAATTGATGAAATCTGATATGAAAATGCTGAGATCAGTCACATACATAAAACTTTAAGCTGACAGCCTGATAGGGTCATCTTCAGAAAATTGCTACGGTTTCAGAATGTCAGCTAAGTAAAACAGCCTAGCTCCACTTATTTCAGAAAATCTATGGCGATTCACACCTGGGTCTCCAGTGTTTACTCAGATTTGTATTAGCTTACCCCATTCTCCCATATGCTTTGCTGTACTTTGGATCTATTGCTATGGCTCTCTCACAATCCTTTATTGCTTCACTGTAGTTGTTGAGCTTACTTTGGGCAGCAGCCCTACAAGGAAGACAGGAGCTTTGTCAGAAAAACAATAAAAGAAAAACCCACAAGCTTAGATGTTCACATGTCCATGACTAACTTTAGACTTGATTAATCTTACTGACTCTTCATTCACTATTTAGGCGATGGCTCAGCTTTCCTCAATTAAGTAGGACAAGCAAATGTTCTAAATTAAGTATATGCTTAAGTGCATTGCCAGACCAGGGCTTTGGAGAACATGCACTCACCTTTGAGGATGCAAAGGATAAATAATTCTAAGGAATTGTTTTAGATTCAGCATTGACTATACCCAAAATGCATCATAAAACCTCTTAGAAGTGAAACTCTCAAGTAGTAGTTTACATAAAATCATTGTTTAAGCAGAATAGGCATCTTCTAGTAAGAAGTATAGTTTTACTACCATTCAGAGAAACGCTGTGATTTTTCCCTGCTCAATATTTTAGCATGCAACTCATGCTTGCAGGTAAATCAGGGAAACATTTCTCAATAATCTCTGAATTACTAAGTTACAGTTGCATCTCTATATGAGAGAAATATTAAATGTTGTGGACATTGGAACAAATTAATAATTAAAACTTCCCCAGTTTGAAAGGTCTCAAAACACTCCAATTTGTTCTTCCTTGATTAAAAAACTATAGTAGAAATGACAATACTTCCACTGCATAAAGCATTCTTCTTTTTTATTAGGAATGCTATGTGCTACAATCAACACTATATTCAATCCTTTCTCCTGTGATTGCATGTTTTTTCTGACTATGACTAAAATCTCTTCTGAATGGCACTCCTTATATATTTTAAGTATTTAGGCTGCTTAACAGTAGTCCAACTTCACAAATGCCAATGAAGACGTACGGATAAAAGCTGGGGACAATGCTTAGTCTCTCGTGTGTTTGAACAAAAGATGTTTTTTCCTGTTTACAAAAAATTCATATGGCCAGTTAAAACTTTGAGGGCATCTCAGCTCTCTTTTTTCTCATTGCTGTAAGTAAAAGCAATACTGTTGAAGGAAATGTATCTGTCTCCATTGCTCCTGAACTAGCCTAAGAAAGGTAAGAATAAGGCCTATATTTATTCAAATACCGCGTCATCCACAGAACTCCAAGCAACTGCCTGTCTTCTTTTAAATAACCTCTTGTAATACTGTGCTTACTGACATCAAGATTCATTTTGGTCCTCACAAATGCGGTATATGGTGATGTAACATACAGAATAAATTATTTCTACTCTTGCCAATTACAGATTGGGTACTTAAGCCTGCTTTCCTCTACTGAGGAAACTTCCAGTGATTTTGGGACGCTTTTGAATCTGGTCTTATATTTCTATTTTATACCTAAAATCACTTATGTGATCAGTTTTCTCAAGGAAAATAGATGACTCACACTTTGAACTGCCATCTTAAAGATTTAAAATATTAGTAAATTGCACATCTCCTTTCTCTTTATGCTTGCCATGAAACACTGAATCTTTCACTTGTATTTATCACAAACTAAACTCTGGAGTAATGGAAGCACAGTTCCAAAAATAGAAAAATCCACTGGGTACAGTACCACAAGGACAGATTGACAGCACTTAAGTTAATATATGCTTCTGGTAATGGAGGGACTGAGGAGTGTAGAGCAGAGTGGCTCTAGAGGCAGGCTAGTTCCAGTAGGGCTCATAGACTATATTGCCTTATGCCGGTCTTCTGGGCACTATACTGAAAGAGCAAATGTCAGCTGCTGGGTTAACAAGCACTTCCAGACTTCATCTGCTCCCATGTCACTATGTCTTCGCTATGGCGAAGAATAGGTTATACACAAGAGCCTTGTTATTTTTCAACAGGTCATGCATAAAAATGCTGAGTATTTATACAATGCTTGAAATCTTCAAAATGGTATTTCCACACTGATGGTATTTTTTCCACAGAAAGCCAATCCTAGGGGAGATAGAGATGGCAGCTGAGTCAGTAGAACACCAGAAAAAATGGCTCTTACTGCTCTCAACAGACTGGGAATCACAGCCTATATTATGATTTAATATAGACAACCTAACTCACAAAAACCTGACCTCAAGTGTTACAAGTAACTTTAAAGCCCATATTACACCTTTAACTGATACAGATACACTGAATGAGCTCACTATCACTTTAGATCTTTTACAAATTTAAAATTTAACATGATAAATTTCTGAATAGTGGGGTTTTCTAGCTTCACATTGTTTTGATCTACTTGGCAGTTCATCTTTAAAATAATGTTAATGAAGTTAGGGCATGAAAAGTGTGTATTATTTTGTTTTTACCTGTTGCAGTAATAGACTGCGTTGTTTGGATCCAGTTCTATAGCCCTAGTATAACAATCCACCGCCGCACCATAATTTTCTTCTTTCATATGATTATTACCTGAAATAAATGACAAAGAGCTCTTAATTAGTTAAAAGATACAGTGCTATGTATGAAAGAAATAGAGCAGCCATGTTATAGCATCTATATAAGGTAGTTATAACTGCATTTTTCTAAGATACATTCTTTTAAATAGAATTGGCATGGAATAATGCAAATACAAATATCTACAATGTCTGTTAAGTTTATTATGTACACTGTAGTCCACCACATAAACCTTCCCCTTCTCATCTCGCTAGTTCACACTTTCCAGCTAGTTTCTCCTTGTTAAGCAAAGGTCACTTTGTTGAGAAGTGTAATTGTAATTGGAGTTCCATTCTAATATAGATTCATCACTCTTAACTGTCTTCGCAAGCCTCATAATCCAACAGGCTATATGTTAATTCCTTTTGGTCTCATTTTCTCACATGTCCCAACAACTTGCTTGTAACTATCCGTATAACATGGATAATCAAACAAAAGCAAAACTAAACACATAAGCCCCACTTTTGTGATGCCATATAATTCATTCATTAAGATAATGAAAAGTATGCATAGTACAGGCAATCTAAAATGATTTGGAGGTAACATTTCTCACCAACAAAGCTCAGAAGTTCTACTCTATAATGAAGTTTCATATTTCATATTTTTAAGTCCAGTGAAAAAAAAAAAGAAAAATATAAAGAAAGAAAATTCTGGAGTAAGGTCTTTCAAAACAAAAGGTATCTTACACATTCTTTCCTCCCCAACACGGGGCAGTAGTTTCTTTCTTTCCTGATGATAGAGTAGTAGAGAAAAAGTCCTAGTTAAGAGTGCCCAAGCTTAAGCCTGTCCCTGGTCCTGCAACTATGGATCTTTGGTCTGCTAGATCCTACATAAGCCTTGGTTTCCCAGTAATGCCAAGAAATTGTCAGGAAAAGTATAGACTTCCACTGACTTCCTTGTATTTTGGCAAAATATTTCAATCCCCAAAATAAGCAAGAGAAGGCACAGGTCAACAGGTTACTACAGATGTAGGTAACTGCATAAGCAAAGGCTGGAAAAGTTCAGTCAGTGCAACATTTTGTCTCTGACAGAGAGCAAAAGACTGTGGAACACGCAGTCCTAGGTGCCTGTACTAACTGAAAACCACTATACTTGCATTTATTCGTGAACATGGAAAGCTTAATAAACAAAACCAGATTTAAGTAGCTAACTATCATCAAGGTAGTACAAAATCACCTCTTCCTAGCAGTGATACACTAGACTGTAATGACAGTCCTTGCCAGTGAGAAGGCGAACTGAAACTGTACATGCAGGTATACCTTCAAAATATGCATAGAATGTAACTATATGTCTTGCTTCTACAGGCGCACCATCTACATATCTTTCCTTTTATCTAAGGTACTAAGGTCTGTACACTAAATCCTGTTGTCAGATAAAAGACTTGCAAGTTAGGTGCACTCACTAAGATTGCAGCAATTGACATTTCTCTAAAGCAAAGCTGCCATCAGTGACTATCAAAGCTGGAATTTCTTATACTGCTCGGAACTAAAGATGACCTGGGGTACAGGGCTAAGTTGGAGCTACTATCAGTGGGTACCTTTCTTGCTCTCTCTCTCTCTCCAGCTCAAAATTGGCTAAAGGAAAACAGAAAAATAGCTAGACTGTCTATTTCTGCTGAGATTAAGCAATTCAGGACAAAAGGAAAAGCAACTGTAATATTTTATTTTAATGCCAGACAAAGATTCTTAAGACAAAAAACCCCCCACAAATGGTTATACTTCTGAATATGTGTCCTCTATAACAAAAATACTACCTATAGTTATCATTTATACTGTGGTAATACCCAGATCTTTTTAGGATCAAGCCACTGTTACACTACACAAGCCTGCACATAATGTGTGCTCTTACAGCTCTTACATTAAGCCAAACTGTCAAGTGATACATGAGGGTAGGGAAGTAAATTCAAGTATTTACTAGTATGGAGGGTATATTACTTCCTGGTTTTATAAAGACCAAGAAAGAAAACTCTACTATCTGATTTTGGTTTGCCATTCATTAGCCAATTTCTACAGGTACTAGGGCTGGTTTGAGAGCAGTGGAGGAGCAGGCTGGTGGCCACAAAGGTTAGGGAAGTTATTCCATTGGTAAGGACATATAGATAGAAATGAGGAAATGACATAGTTATAGAATTATAGTATTACAGAAGCTATGGGTCAAATGGACTTCCCCAAATTATTTAATTTATCTCCCTAACTCAGGGCAGAAAATACTCATAACTGAAAAGCATGATAGTGGTAATAGGTAATATGTGTGTGAAGATGAGGATTAATATGACAGAGCAGCATTAGAAAACAGGACAGGAAGTTTTAATTTTATTATGGGATAATAACCAAAGGCATTTCAACCAGTTCCAAACTGCTTACTAATGCCCCTGATATCTGACATTTTAAATGGCCCTTTGTCGAAGTTTAGACCCTTTCAATTCTTCCAGTAGAGACATGGGATTGCTTTAGTAACACCACACAAAGACTAACACATAGTACACATCAATTTCATTTCCTCAGTCTATTTTACAAACCCCTGTAGGCTGACAGATGACAAGACAGAAGTCACAGATTTAAAACAGGCATCGCTGTAACACCCACACCTGCAAAGTGCTGAATATCCCTACAGTTCAATAACCATCCTGAGTGCTACTGGTATTCTTCACTTTCCGTGAGCTGGCAGTAACAGACAGCAAAATGAAAAGCCAGCATGCACAGCAGGTATGTTAGAACCTAAAAACTAATTTTCGCTTGTGACTTAACCTTGTTTGAGCTCTTATCCTTAGAAGTAAAGAGCTAATGAGCAACTTCAACAATTAGGAAAACTTACTCTCAAGCCAGTAATGGACTGCATTCATGTCTGCAGATGACCAAGTTTACAATAAGACAGACATGGAACTCATTCTCAGAAATGGTAGAACTTTTTCCACATCATTATCCTGAAATTTTTGAGAGGATTACATCTGCCTTCAGTTAGAAGCTTACTTATTTCTTCTATAAAACTCAAATATCTGAAAATCCAACAGGTCATAAAAGATGTGATTTATAAAGCATCAATCTTCCTGACAACAATTTGTATCAGTTATCAGTGCTACATGCCTTCTTATTTCCCACTTTCCTTTTGCGGGGAAATAAAATGGATTCCTTCCTGGGTAGCATTAGTGAAGACTTCTATGATACAGCTGATTTTCCTCATGTAACAGCAATAACATCAAAGGGAAAATAAGCAACTGGCTTTTCTGCAATTTTTATAGAGCACACAAATTATTTCACATATGTGAAATACTAACCCTAGCAAGTTAACAAGAATTTTTCCATTGGCTTCAGCTGGGTCAGCTTTTTAGCACTGTTTTAACATTCAGCTAGCACATAATCATTGACATCACATAACCTTTTCAAAATAAAATAGAAACTTGTATAGCAATTCCATGGACAAACAGAGAAATCTATCATATACCACACAATAACTGTTAATTCTTTAAAGTTTCTACTATTCAGGAATGTTGCCCGGGACTTCACATGCTACCCCTTAGTTTTTAAACAACCTCCTGAGCAAGGGAGAGAATACACTATATTTTCCTAAACCCCAGACGGAACAAATCACTTAGCCCTTTTACAACATCAAAAAAAACCAGAGAAGGTTTTTCTGCGGGGTGTTTGTTGCCCAGCTGCTCTACTGTCACTGTCCATGATAATCCAAAAATCTTAATAAAAGCGTAAGATGTTCATTCCTATGTTTATTACAAACCTTCATCCTTCAGTTGGTCAGCCTTTTCAACGTCCTCTGGTAAAGAATCTGAGAGAGGCAGCATGTCATTCTGTATGTAAGCAAACCAAGATTTTTTTTTTATTAAAATATAAGCCCTGATTTTGTTAAAAGCTTCTTTTATCCCAGGTAGCATTGTATCAAGAAGCAAACAGATTTTCTGTAGTGCACAGGAAGTATGAAAGAACTAAACATCACTCAAACAGCCTTAGAAGAGAAAGATGGCTTGTTTTCTTCTACTAAAAACCCCTTATGGCTCACCACACATTTTAAAGAATTCAGGGGGAAGAGAGCTGAGCTGTCTCTACAGTCTTGGTTTTCTTATTTTTGTCCCTCCTATTTGCCATCATGGCAGCTCCCAGATAACACGTATTACATTTTCGAAATTCCCATTTTAAGATCAGTGTTCATGGAGATGTTTGTAAAACGGAACAACTAAATAATTTCCAGAAGGGAGTGAAAAGCATCAGCAAACTATGAATGACCTTAAGCACTTTGCAGACATTTATCTCTGGGAATTGCAAAATGCTTAACTGAAGGATAAAAACCTTCAAGTGAGAATGAGACTGCCACTGTTTAGTAATTTTCTATATGGAATTGTCCTTGTCTAGCTGAAATTAATTCCTCCCACGGCCCCAAAAGATTCTCATTCTGCTAGCTTTTATAGAAATTTCGCTTTTTTCATGTTTTCCTTAAGCCTCCACCTCATTTTGACCTATACAGCTCTTTGAGTATATGTTATAAAATCTTAGCACGTATTGGCAAAGTAACTCTGGAATCTAAATGAAATTCTTACCTTGTGAAAAGAATTTGTGAACATTTCTATCAAATGCTGTGGAGGTGCAAGATGAGTGTCTTCCAGGTTAATCTTAAACACAGTCTCCAGACACTGAATTGCAACTTAGAAGAAAAGAATAAAAAATATGTCACCCGTTCCTCAATAAAGTGTAATTTCATTAATTTACTTATAAAGGTGTGATTCACTTCCTTATTCATCTAGTAAAAGCAGCTCTGTGAAATATACCATAAAATAAAGAGAGGCTACCTGATCCCCACAGAACTGACTTGCTGAAAAATAGTATAAGCTATACAGAATCCATATATAGTTCAGCCATTATTCTTAAACCGATTTAAAACTTTTTATTTCAATTCTTTCAGTTGCTTAATGTATTTTTCTTTAAAACATAAAAAGATGAGGATTTAACAAAAGCACGACAATCCATGATACAACTATGCATGTGTCACACACCCCACCTCAACACCACAATGGCCATATGTTTGTGTGGCATAATAGTTGGAAGAAAATGTCTCATCTTTACTGTAAAGAATAAATGCAAGACACTTACTACTCTTATCTTTTTTTTTTTTGGAACAAAATATACTCATTTGAAGACAGTGTTTATTAATGAAATGCTTCATTAATCACAAGCCTTTACCCTGTAAGAAAATACATCTGCGGTATCCTTTCACATGTTCTGGTGTGTAAGGATTAAATGGCCCTCCCAAAGCTGTAAAATAAATAGTAAAACCTGGAGGATGTATTTTTTTAAAAAACTCTGATAACTTACAATAGAAATTATTCAGAAAAAGTAAAGTATGATACATAAGTAAGGTTGATAACAGGTAACAATTGAATACATTGCTAAATATATATACAACTTGCTCCTAAAACCTATAAAGGCTAAAAATATATCAATTTGGCGGGCTCTAAATTACCCAGTAAGAGCGCTGAGGGATTTGGGTTAAACTTCTTTGTCTCCTGCTATGTAGAAAACTTAATTCTTCTAAAGTAAGCACTGATCATGCTGAATTCCGAATTATTTGTTAATAGTACTTATTGCCAGGCCTTTCATAAAATCGGTGGAATTATATATCTTGTTTTTCCTTATATAACTTAATAGGAAGCCACTTGCCATAGTATGCTTACCAGTTTTCCCCTCAAACTTATTTTCACCTAAAGGCATTCCCTTTCCTGAATGCCTCTCCTTATCCATAGTTTTCCATAAATTTAAAACACAACCCCCTCCTTTATCTTTCTCGAGGCATTAAGTCTGTGACACCAGCTCTCTACCATAAAGGAGATTTTTGCAACATGCAGCAGTGCAAATGATGCTTAAACAAAATAAACCCCAGTATAGTATTTTTACTAGTAAGCATTTCCATTAAATAACCAGTTGTTACAGTGAACTGCCGTATTTCTCCTTTAACTGAAAATGGAATTTATAATCCTTATAATCTATCTATCACAGGTATAACAAAATTAGGAGCTCTTATGGGATGAATCCATAGGTTAGAATAATAACTGCTGGTTAACATGCAAGCCAACAACAGAAACCTGTGTAAAAAAAAAAAAAACCAAACCAGAAACTTTTCAAAATCAGAAGATGTATTAAGTTGTGACAAGACCAGTAACTACCCTGTTTTAACGTGATGTAAAAACCTGACCCCAGTAAAGTCAAAGGAGTGAAGACTTGGTTTTGTCTGAAAAGTATCTCAAGAGACTGGACTGCCAGCATCTCACTGTCTTATTATCAAAGTGAGCATCTCATCTGTGGAATGGAAACTGTTCCTGGCACAGACACTTAATCATCCCGTGGTTTATCTTTTCATAAACACCAAGTAGGTACATAAGGTACCAACGAAAAACATCAGACAAATTTTTTCATCCCTTATGTCCCCACCTAACATTGAACACTTCAATGGGTGGGACTTGGGCTATTGCTACTCTACATGCACTAAATGTATTTTGCACAACTAAAATCAGTCAATTATTCAGAATGCCCGCCCCCTATCCTCTAACACATAGCATATGGTACCATGCTTTTGGCAGGGTGCAGCTCTAAAATTAGGATTTCATATCTGTATTAAAATGGTAAATTCTACATCAGCATTTAAGCACAACTGAGGTTTTGTAATATTTTTGTTCAGAAACCAGAATCTTAAATCAATTTCTTCATACAGACATTGGCTAAGGCTGCTCTAAAACACAGTATCGGGTAAATTCTCAGTCATAACCCAATGTTTATCAGTTTTATTATAAAAACAAAAGGAATACTCTTTATCTCTCATTATATGATTTCCAAAAACATTGCTTTCTTTCATCAGCTGAACATCATCATAACCTGATACAGGTTAAATTCATAGATGACTACCACTTCTCAAATGTACAAAATGCTCCAGATTCTGATGTAAAACCAAATCTTTTGGCTTTTACTCTTTTGGGAGTATCCTTTGAATATCATGATACAAATGTTTCTTTCTTGCTTACATTAGTGAACAACTACACTGTAAGACCAAATAACACTGGAAGGAAGCACACTCCAGGTTTATCTTTTTAAGTTTATGCCTCTGAGAAGAAGGACTTGCTTTGCACCTCGGGGAAGTCTACTCTCCACACCTCAGATTTCAGGTAACTCAGTGATCAACTTGCCTGGATGCTGTTTATTGCACTGCTGGTCCTAGACTTCCCCCTGTTTCCTCCAAATTCCTCCTCTGGTTGAAGTGATACAACCAAAGACTGCTTGAAACAGCGCAAAGGTCTTTTAAATAGTTGCTATGAAAAGCTCGTTACAGAATTAAGACTTTTTGTTCTTCTCTTGCTTAATTCCACATCGTGATACCTCCTGCCACGAAGTCTCCAGGAATTAGGGAAAAGGAATAAGAGCAGTATGAAGGAGAAAGACAGATTCTGTGAAGTTACAAAGACTTAATGAGTGTCATCAACAGAGGAATACACATACAAGTCCATCGTTCTGTACCTATGTCTATGTATATGCACGTATAACAGAAACTACACCATACTGAAAATATTCACTACCACGCACTCTTTGGGATCACTGTTCAAGTGAAAAAGAAATGCAAAGCATTTCTTTCATTTTCTGTGTTTTTAGGGTCTCTTAACCTTTCCTCATAAATTACATTGAATTCTTGGAAGTATGAAACAGCAGTTCTACCCATATACCAATATATGGTATTTCTTTTACTTCCTCCGTGGCCAGCGCAGCTACTATCAGACATAAAATGCAGAAAGGAACCAAACATAAAAGTAAAGAGAAAAAGAATCAGCAGGCAAAGATTTGTGGGACACATACACAAATCATTACCATAGTCTGCATTACAGCGTGGCTTGACTTGATGTGATTCAAAGTATCTGTTGCTCAAAACTAAGGTAGTACACATTTTGTAACTTCAGAACATTTTTTAAATGAGAGATGTTTTAAAATTAATAATTGGTGGCAGTTCTAGTTAGGTCACTCCAGTTACTTTCTACGACAATATACATCAAGCAGTTTAACACGTGGGTAGGTATTATACATATACCTATATTAGCACCTTTATCACTTACCTTCCAAACTTTCTTGTTCATCTGGAGTAAAAGTATCCATCTGACTCTGCTCTCTCAAGAAATGGATGACTGCATAAACCAAGCGTTTGACTGATGACATTTTGAAATTGATGAGTTTCTCCTATGTCTCTAAAATATCAGAAAAATTAATTGCTAGAGTATTCCAGCCTCCCACTGACCTCCGTAAGAAGTACACACAATACACAAAGGCTTATCCTTCACCAGAAAGCCCAGTACAGAGATGCTTTGAAAGAAGCAGTTAAATTGTACAGATTAGGGAGAACTACAACCATCTAGCCTATCTACCAGCAAAAGAGCACACATTTCCTCAGATTCACTCCCGCGGGAGAGTTCACCGAGGCTAAAATAATTTAGCAACTTATTTTTCATTTTTATTTTTTAATAGTTTGGATCTTATTTCTAAGACGTGCACTTGGAAGCAGGAGCACATGCTTTAGTCAAAATCAATGTAAAAGCCGCACTGATAAATATAATGACATAAAGAAACACACTTTAATAAAAGGTATTCTATTTTCAGACATGGTATAGCTGAAAGGTTTATATTCACTTTGGACAAAAAACTGGAACACTGTGACCTCAGCGTACACTTGTGATTAGTGACACGACCGGCTCAGTCTGATTTGCATTCAGCATCTGCTGGGAGTTACATAACTTTGAGGAAAAATTTTAGTTCCAACTTTCCAAGTTATTTTTCCTTCCACGATTTCCATTCAAAAGGGCACAACCTGATCCAGTCGCCAGGCTGGAAGCAGGTTAAAAAAGAGCGTTAAATGAACGGCAAGACCGGGGCCAACACTCGAGACATTATTTTCTCTCTACAACCCCCGAGCAAACCGACATG